CAAGCTTGCCGATGTCCGCCGATCCGACGTTTCCCGACTCGGCTGCCGATTTCCGCCGATCTGATTCATGTCGATCGCCGGTCCGACTTGTCGATTCGATTCTGGGCTTTGCTGCAGGGGTTTCAAGGGAGCCCCAATCTCTTGACGCTTAGAGCGTCCCCACCAGCCCATCCAAAAAACGATCGCCAGGCGAGTAGCCCAAAATCGGTGAAGCTCAGAAGCATGCAGGGGAGCCTGCGCCCAGGAGGTTTTTAGAATGCCGATTGCTACCGACGACGGGTGGGGTGGGTATTTCAGACTGGCCAGAAGCCTGACGTGTGCGCAGATTGGGGCGGGAACATATCTTGAATGATTGGACACAGCTTCCCATGCCGCGGCGGGCATACTGGGCCTTGGTGTCCTCTTGGTGCACTCTCGGGGCTGGGTGGTCGCTATCTTCGGAATGGGGATGAAGAGGAAGGATGAGGAACTGGAGGATGAGGAGGACGAGGAGGAGGAGGAGGAGGAGGAGGAGGAGGTGGAGGCTGAGGAGGGACGGATGAGTAGGAAAGGAAATGCGAAGAGGTGGGGAAGGTGGACGAAGAAGAGTATGGGGGAAGACGGAGGAGACGACGACGACTATGACGACGACGGCGACGAGCCAACCATAAAAGCCTTCGCGGATCTAACCCTCTTGGATGCGCCATCTTTGAAGCCTTTTAAGCCGGGTAGGGGGAGGGGTAATTCCCTTCCTCGAACATGGGAAGGAGCCGCGTTGGAAGCGCAGCGAAGGCGCAGAAGAGGAGTGGAACCATCGTTTGAAACACTCAGGACTTCTTCCCAGCCGCGGCGGCTATATACTGGGTCGGGTTATCCTTGCCAAGATGAGGCCTTCTCGGACCTTCGGTTGTTAGTGTGAGGTTCTCTTGGAATATTGGGGTCTTGTGGGGGTGACAAGGTGGGTATTGCCCTGATCAGGAAAGGGGGCCCTCCCGACGCCCTACCCGACTCCTTTCCCAACGCCCAGCTCAACGCCCAGCCCGACATATCCTCCAGGTTGGCCGACGCCACATCCTACATTTCTTCCTGCAGCTCCAGCGACTGGAGGCTCTGGAGCCGTGGCTGCCACTGACGACCCCCACCTTCGTCCATGGCGAGCGATTCTCCTGCGTCCCCTTTTGTAATTGCATCCTCACGGAGGAAGGGGAGTGTGAGGGCAGCTCTGCTCTGCGCTGATTCATTCATTCACTTCTAGCCACCAGATGGGGCACACTCCCCTTCGTGAGGGGGGAAGCCTCCTGACGCTTGACGAGTTTCCGCGATCTTACTTGATCCTTGCGAACGCGGCACGGCAGGGCATTTCGTAGCAATTCTGGCTTGACCAAGGTACCTGGTCAGATGCAGGCTCCAGTGTTCCCTGGATAGAATCCAGGTGAAGGTGCATGCGTAATGCTTCTGTGCTTTCTTGAGGTTCCGAACTGTGTCAATGCGCCTCGTGGAAAGTCATCGCGCCGCTCGTCCTGTCTCTCCTGGTTTCCAGGTCTTTCTTCAAGAGGAATTCCGAACAGATCCCAAGTGCAGACTCGATGCCTCCAAGACGGCGCACGAGATCTCACATTTGCTGCCAAGAGCTTCGCCATTCATGCGTCCGTGCCGGAGGCCGGAGGCCCTTCTTGCGAGGGATGGCCCTCGCGTGTCTTCACCATGTTCTCGTCCACGCCGGATGCTCCTCAGCGAGGGGTGCCCCTCACGAGCGTTCATGACCCTCACTGCGAGGTGTTGCCCTGACGTGGTCCAGCCCTCCCCTCGACCGTGTTTTTTTGTTGCAAGGTTCCCCACCTCTGCGCACCGGTCTGCAGGGTGTGATTTTCTCGCCGCCGCCGCCGCCCGCATTTGGGCCGTGGTGGCGCCAGTGGGTCCCCCGCCCTCCTCACGCTCTAGGCATGCACTCGTGTGTGTTGTGCGTTTTCACTTGCTGATGCTCTTCATCCGGCTTGCCGATCCACCGCTGCAGTATCGAGCGTTGAAAATTTGGCCCAGGGGCCCCAAGCAGATCCCTGGAAGGCCTCCGATAGGCCAACATCCTTGGTGTTTCTTACGGATTTTCAGCGATCCTTAAGCTTACGCCAAACTGCCGACCCCTGTGGGGACTGGCGGTTGTTGCGGGGTGCTCCTGGGGGCCTCTTGGGAGCCTTTTGGTTAGGAGCTTCTTAGAGTTTTTTTGATTATCGAATGGTCTTCGGCACGTCCCTCCACCGTGCCTGGGCTGCGGGTCGGAGGCCACGCAGATGGCAGATGGGGTCTCGTGGGAGGCGTCTCGGGGGCGTTTGGGAGGCAGTTTTTGTACCTTTTGGGCGGCTTCTTGGTGGCCTCTTATAGCTCTTTGGGGGCCTGTTGGGGACTTCTTGGGGCAACTGGGGAGCGTTTTGGGGCCGAAGGCTCGAAATGTCCATTCGGTTTCCCCCTCTGGGCCCTCTTCTTGGGACTGTCCTCGGGCCCCCCTGGGCCGTCTTGGGGTCTTCTTGAGCGGTCGTCTGGGGGCCCTCTTAGGTCGTCTTGGAGCTCTCTTGGGGGCCTCTTGGGCCGGCTTGGAGCGATTTAAGGAGCTTCTTGGGTCGTCTTCGAAGTTGTGAACGCCACGCACAAGAGGCGAATGTGTTGAAAATGCGCGTTTTCCGGAGGGAATGGGCGACTTTTGCTCTTGGAGGCCGTCTTGGGACGCCTCTTGGGAGCTTCTTGGAGCGTCTTGGGGACCTTGGGCTGTCTGGAGGCCAGCGCGAGCGATTTGGATCGATCTTTCGGCGGCTCGTAGCCTTCTTGGAATGTCTGGCCTCTTGGGGCGTTCTTGGTCTGTTTTGGGGCCCTCTGTCCCCCCCAGACGCGTTCGGCTTGTCCCTGGGGGACCCCCACCTCCAACGGAGGGGGGAGCATCTCACACGCCGATGAAGCCCAAGGTGTCGGCGGATTTTCTATTCCACTGTTCAGAGCTCCCGGGTCGGCCGGAAAGCACTCCATTTTCTTCCGAGTCAGCCCAAAAGAATCTCGGATGATCCCAAGGGGGGCCCGAGACAGTCCAAGAGGGCCCATTTATTCCACCAGAGGGCCCACCTACTCGCCTAGAGGGCCTCCCGGCCAGCTCCTCAAGACGGCACAGGGCTCCAAGACGGCCCAAGTGGGGCTTCAGAGGGCCCTGCGCAGCCCCAGGAGCCTTCCAAGACAGCCCAAGATGACCCGAGAGGGCTCCAGGGCCGCCCAAGAGCCCTCCAAGACGCCCCCAGCTGACGCCGACGCCTCCACTGGGCAAGCAACTGTTGATTCAGACATTTTCTTGAAGATTATTGCGAACTCGCTTGTTCGACCTTTTGGAACAGAACCGCCCTCAATCCTTGTAGATGTCGGAAACTTTCAGAACGAATGTGCGCGGCGTCAATGCGAGAGCCGCATTTTGAAAAGGAACCATTATCCATCGTTGTAGCTATTGCAAACTTTGAAGACACATGTGCGTCGCGCGACGACCTGTGCTCCATCCGTGCGAGTTTGTGCGGTGCTCAGGCGCCGCTTTGACAACGAGCCGCCCTCCACCCTGATGACTGACGCGTGTTTGAAACAGGTGTGCGGCGCTGAGGCGCGAGCTCCAATTTTGAGAACGACCTGCAACGACCTGTGCTCAACTTTTGTAACTGTCACCCACTTGGAGGACGAACGTGGGTGGCGCTGAGGCGAGAGCTTGTCCCTGAGGAGGGCGAGGAGGAGGAGGAGGCCTTGCCTGAGCGGCTTGTCGGCTTGTCTCTGTTTGTGAAAGAGAACGGGTGGGCGCGCCGCCCAAGTTCCGAGGTGGCGCTCGGCGTTGCCCGGGGTTCCTGGGTGTTCCTTGGCGTTGCTCGCGAGGCAAGGCGAAGTAATGCCAGGCAACGCCAAGCAACGCCAAGCAATGCAAAACACTGTCAACTAGTGCCAAGCAGTACGAAGTGAAGCCAAGCAATGCCCAGCAACGATTCCAAGCAACGATGCCAAGCAATGCCAAATAACACCAATCAATGCAAAGCAACGCCAAGCGATGCCAAGCAACGATTCCAAGCAATGCCATGCGATGACAACACGTGCCAAACACTGTCAATCAATGCAAGGCAACGCCAAGCCATGCCAAGCAATGCCGAGCAATGCAAAGCCAATGCGAAGCCAATGCAAAGCCAGTCCAAAACTAATGCCGTGCAATTCCAAGCAATGCTTAGCAATGCCAAGCAATGCCACGCAAGGCCAGGCAACGCAATGCAATGCACAGCAATGCAACGCACTGCCAAGCAATGCCAAGCAATGCCAAACAGCGCCATGCAGTGCCAAGCAATGCCTAGACATGTCGAACAATGCGAAACAGTTCCAATACATGCAAAGCAATGCCAAGCACAGCTTTGCATTGCATTTCTCTACATTGTTCAGAGCTTTTTTGAACTTCTCTGGAATAAATGAGAGCCCTAAATTGGGTCGTGCCAGGTTCGTTTTGAAAACGACCTCCTTCCATTTCTGTAAATGTTGTCAACTTTTCAGACGAGATTGCGCGGCCCTACAGCTAGAGTCCCGCTTTGAACCTCACCCCCTCTCCATCCGTGTGATTGCTGCAAATCAAGCCTCATGACTATACTGTGAGGACGTAACATGCGGAACGCCCAGCCCACCCTTCTGACACGTCAGAGGGCGCGACAGGGAAGAGCCGTCTGCAAGCCCTCTCAGACTCTCTTTCGACATGCATTTTTTTCGTGACGTCGGCGCCACGGTCCTTCACCATTTCCACTAGGCCATCTTTTCATCCTGAGTCGGTTTTTGACCGTCCCCAGGCGGGGAAAGACGTCAGACGCTGAAAGCAAACGGGTCGTCGTGTGTTGTCCGGATTTGAGAGAGGAGCATGGATGGAAGATGACGAGGAGGAGGAGGAGGAGGAGGCGGAGGAGGAGGAGGAGGAGGAGGAGGAGGAGGTCGCGGCGTCGGCGTGGGCGGTCGGCGTCGTCGTCGGCGTCGTCGTGCAGGAGCTCGATGCCGTGCGAGCGGTGGCCGTGCACCGGGCGATGGACCCGATCTCCTTGTGCGACCTGCGCTCCAGGTCGGACCAGGCCCGGCTCTGCCGGCTCGCGTCGCGGCCGCCGCTGGCGTCCCGGGAGGTGGGGGGGAGAGTGAGGGGAGGAGGATGGGGGATGAGGGGATGGAGGTTGACGATGTTGATGATGATAATGATGATGATGATGATGATGATGATGATGATGATGATGATGATGACGATGACGATGACGATGATGATGATGCTGATGATGATGATGACGATGACGATGAGGCTGATGATGATGATGATGAGGTTGATGATGTTGATGAGGCTGATGCTGATTATGATAATGATGACGAGGCGGGGGAGTAGGTGGAGTGGAATACTGATGATGATGGTGATGGCGATGGCGATGTTGATGGTGATGGTGATAGTAGTAGTGGTGGTGATGATGCTGGTGGTGGTGATGATGATGATGATGATGATGATGGCGATGTTGAGCTCTCATCTTTATATAACAATTGTTGTTGATGCTCCCTGCCCGGTAACCATTGCATCTTTCAATTCATGTGCGCCTCTCGGGGCTCGCATCCTTTGTTTTATAAGGGAAAGCGAGGTGTCACCAAAGTGAGCCCCCGAACTACAACAACAACGGCTCTCGCCTGATACGTCCTCACAATTTATTTCCAAATCGCGCTCTCGCGCGGGACGTCCTCACAAATTATTCAGGAATTGCGCTCTCGCGTGGGACTCTCTTGCAATTTAGTCACACGCCGCGCCCTCGACAATCAGGAACCACGCTCTCGCTGTGGATGTCCTCGCGATTTATTTAGGAATCGCGCTATCGTTCGAGACGTCCTTGCGATTCATGCAGGACGCATGCTTCAGCAACCCGCCTGCTCGACCTGGCCGCCTGGGCCCGCCTTCCCGACCCGCCCGTTAGGGTCTACCCGCCCGATCTGCCCGTCTGGTTCTGCCACTAGCTCCCCTCCTGCTACTCTCTATCGTGTTCCATCCTCCTCCCTCCCCTTGTCCCTTCTTTCCAACCGTCCTCTCTTCCTCTGCCTTAGGGGCTGCACGAAAAACACGTTGCAGGTAAGAACAATATAAATCCCCAAGGGGATTCGATCGAAGACGAAGAGGGCGGGTATCCATGGTTTGGGAGACACAGGTTGATCTGTACGCACGCTTACAAGAGCGAACAGTCTTGAATGTATTGACCGATTGTTGTTGGTGTCGCTGTCATTGTTGATGCTGTTGTTGGTTTAGTTGGTGTTGTTATGGGTGCTGCTGTTGTTGTTGTCGTTGTTATTGTTGATGCTCGTGGTGCTATTGTTTTCTTGATGCTGCTGCTGGTGTTGATGATGAATTGTGATTCTGATGGTGGTGGTGGTGACGATGATGTTGATGACGTTGTTGTTACGGTTGCTGCTGCTCGTGCTGTTGTTATTGCTGCTGTTTTGGTTTTTGTTGTTGCTGCAGCTGTTTTTGGTGATGCCGGTACTGCTATTGTTTTTTTCTGGTGTTGGTGATATGGTGTGCTGATGCTGGTGGTGGTGGTGAATGCTGATGTTATAAATTATGATCCTGCTGATGATGCTGATGCAGACCATAGTAACGATACTATTAACACTACAAGTGATGATGCTGCTGATGATGACGATGATGAAACTGATGATGCCGATGAGGCTGATAATGCTGCCGTTGCTGATCATGATTATGCTGATGCTGATGCTGTTTCTGATGCTGATGCTGCTGATGACGACAATGATGATGATGATGATGATGATGATGATGATGATGATGATGATGATGATGATGATGATGATGATGATGATGATGATGATGATGATGATGATGCTGCTGCTGATGATGATGATGATGATGATGCTGACGATGGCGATACTGATGATGGTGATGACGATGATGTTGATGATCATGATCATGATGACGCGGGTTATGCTGATTCTGCTGATGCTGCTGATGCTGATGATGCTGATGGTGGTGGTGATGATGATGCCAATAGTGATTATGCTGAGGAGGATGATGCTGATGATGGTGCCGATGCCGATGCTGCTGATGACGCTGATGATGATGATGATGGTGCTGATGCTCGTGCTGATGCTGATGCTGCTGGTGGTGGTGATGATGATGATGATGCTGGTGCTGCTGATGATTATGATGATTCTAATGCTGATGCTGATGCTAATGCTGATGCTGATGTTGATGCTAATGCTGGTCATGCTGATGATGCTGATGCTGCTGCTGATGCTGATAGTGATGATGATGCTGATGCTGACGATGAGGCTGATGAATCTGATGTTGATTATGATGATGATGTTCATGCCGATGCTGCTGCTGATGCTGCTTCTGATTATGGTGATGATGCTGATGATGATGAGGCTGAAGAATATGACGATGCTGATGATGATGACGACCTCGATGATTATGATGCTGATTCTGATGCTGCTGATGATACTGATGATGCTGAAGCTGATGATGATGATGATGATGATGATGATGATGATGATGATGATGATGATGACGATGATGATGTTGCTGATGCTGATGCTGCTGCTGCTGCTGCTGATGATGATGATGATGATGATGATGATGGCGATGCTGGTGATGATGATGATCAGAGGACGAGGAGGAGGAGGAATATGAGGGAAGAGAAGGGAGGAGGAGGAGGAGGAGGAGGAGGAGGAGGAGGAGGAGGAGAAGGAGGAGGAGGAGATCGAGCAGCTGAAGATGGGAGAGTCGGAGGGGGCATGAGGTGGGAGCAGGGGGAGGAGGGGGAGATGGGAATCGTGTTCTGCCTCCTAGTGACTGCGTCGTCTTTTGGCCACACACCCGCACCGGCTGCTACGCTCGGCCAGCCACTGGTGCGAGGGACCGCCGCGATCGGCTCACGAAGGAACGCACAGGCTGGTACACTCAGCCAACCGCTGGTGAGGAGAGCCTGGGCTTTCACTGCACCGCCCTGGCGCCCTGGCCTCGGCACACGGCCACGCACGGCACCCCGCACACCACAGACGTGCACCAGGCACGGAAACGCGCGGCCATCGCAACTCCCTGCTCGTCCTTCCCTCCTCCTCCTCCACGTCTCGTTATCCGTCTCCTTGTCCTCGCTTCCTCCTGTTCTTTGGGGAGTTCATGCTTATATTTATACATATGTACAGAAGTGTGTGTGTATATATATATATATATAGAGTTTGTGCGTGCGCGCGTGTGTGTGTGTGTGTGTTATATATATATATATATATATATATGTGTGTGTGTGTGTGTGTGTGTGTGTGTGTGTGTGTGCGCGATCTACCTCCGTACGTTCGCCCCGCTAGGTCGGCGCGCTGGTGCTGGACGGGCAGCGGGTGGACGGGCGCTCAGCGGCCTTGCTTGCACGCGTCGGGGCGAGTGCCCCAAGATCCGGGTGATGAGATAAGCAACACGTGGACGAGGCTTGGGATGGGGATGAGGAGATGATGATGTTATTGATGATGATGGTGCTGATGATGCTGATGCTGCTGCTGATGATGCTGCTGCTGATGCTGCTGATGATGATGATGCTGGAACTGACGATGATGCTGCTGCTGCTGATGATGATACTTCTGCTGATGATGCTGACGCTAATGCTGATGATCATGCTGATGCTGATGCTGACGATGATGCTGATGCTGACGCTGCTGCTGATGCTACCGCTGATAATGATGATGATGATACTTGCGATGCTGATGATGATGGTGATGATGATGACGATGACGTTTATGATGCTGATGCTGATGCCGAGGCTGATGACGATGATGATGTCGATGCTACTGCCGCTGCTGCTGATACGGATGGTGATGATGATTATGATGCAGGTGATGCTGATGGTGCTGATGATGCTGATGGTGATGCTGCTGCTGATGCTGATGACCGCCGCCAGCATGGCCTCTGCACGGCCAACCTGGCCCTTGACCTTCGCCTCCCTGGCCAGGAGGGCCTGGAGAGACAGCTCGGCAAAGGGCTTCGCAGGCGGCGGCACGTCGGCCTCGGGCACCAGGGCCCCGAAGTCCTGGACCAGGGCCGCCGACCAGCCCTCCCTGGGGTCAAAGTGACGGAGGAGGGCCAGGCGGACCTCCTCGTCCTTGCCGCCGCAGCTGCTGGGCTTCTCCACGGCCGCCTGCTTGGCCGCGCCCTGCGCCCACGGCGCCGGCGTGGCCGCGGCGGCGGACGGGCCAGGCCCATCCGAGGCGAACCGCACCCGCTTCGCCACGACCTTCGCCTTCCCCTTGGCTTTGACCTTCTTGGCCTTGTCGATGGCGTCGCCGATCGTGCCAGCTCCCCTCGGCGGCCGCGCCGCCTGGCAGAGCCTGCACACCGTGCGCCACGCCATGTTGCTGTAGCCAGCTGCACACGCATTGCACGTCCAGGGGTCGCCACCCTGGCTGGCACCACACGCACCTCCAGCAGCACCATTCGCCATCGGCCCGCGGGGGTACGCCGCTTCGAAGTATGCACCCGCACGAGCGAGCCCCGTGCTCGCCCCGAAACGGCTAGGAGCAGGAGGAGGGGGAGGAGGAGGAGGAGGAGGAGGAGGAGGAGGAGGAGGAGGAGGAGGAGGAGGAGGAGGACGAAGAGGAGGTGGAGGACGAGGAGGAGCAAGAGCAGGATGAGAAGGAGGGATGGATAGCGCGGGAGGTGGCACGCTCTGACGAAGCGAAGAGGGCAGGAAGCGAGGAGCTGGAAGGCCGCCCCCCCCACTTCGGGGTACGCTTAGGAGCAGCCCCTGTACCACATGGGCAGCGTGCAGAGCGCGGACGGGCGCCTCACAGTGGCCAACAACGTGAGGACAGCGCTTCTCGGGCGGGCGGCATCCGCCCCGCATTCGCTGCAAGCCGAATGCTAGGGGGATCGCCTCTCCTCCTTCATTTTGGCACCAGGCCTTTCCGGTCCGATTCTTCGTGGCCACGATCGCAGCGGGGATGGGAAGGACGAGGACGAAGCTGCACAGCCGTTCCTGCCCAGTTCTGAAGGGTTCCCCGTCGGTGCCGCCGCGGGCGCTGGCCGCTGGGGGGCAGGCGCCGCCCGCCGAGCAACGGCCGCCGTGCTGGTCTCGGAGAGCACGTGCTGTGGGGCACCCTCCCCGTTCTCTGCGTCCTCCTCCCGGGCGCGTGCCTCTCATGCTCCCCCGCGGGCCCGGGCGTCGCGCACAGGCCGCGACGGGCGCTTGGCTCCTCGAGGCTCGACCCGTCCTGAGAAGTCAGCGCCGAGCGGTCCACTGCTCGCAACGTGCCTACTCGCAGACAGTCCTGGCAACAAACGTTTGCCTCGATGTAACTGATTGGAAGTCCCCCTCGGCGGATCCGGGCCATCTGCGAGCAGTTCCTTTTGGGAGTAGTGGACCGCGCTTGTCTAAATCATGTTTGAAATCGGGGCGGAGAGATCCAATCGTTCCACGACGCCGTCGTTGCTACAGTCAGCCCGCATCTCAAGGATGGGCAACCTTCCCCAGGGTACCCTTGCATCCTGGCCTCCTCGGTCATTCCTTGGAAACTTTCCTTGGCCGTGCCCCGCTTGAGAAGCCTCGACCTGGCCTTTCAAGGCCCTTGCATCCTTGTCGTGCGTCCTTCCTAGGCGGGTGGACTGTATGAGTACCTCGCCTGTCGGGCCCTATCCTTGCAGGCAGACCGTCGCGGGCCAGAGCTCCCGACCTGACCCACTGGCCACAGAGGCGAGCTTCCCCCTTGGAGGGCGGGGAGCGTCTCCACATCCTCCGCGGCCTCGCGGCACTGGCTCCTTTGCCACGGGCCCCTGGGGTGCAGGGGCCCGCTGGCGCCCCTTCGAGGCGGGAGGAGGAGGAGGAGGAGGAGGAGGAGGAGGAGGAGGAGATCGAGGAGGAGGGAGAGGAGGATGAGGAGATGCAGGAGGAGGAGGAAGAGGAAGAGGATGAGGAGGAGCTGGAAGAGGAGCAGGAGGAGGATGAGGAGGAGGAACAGGACACATATTTATACTAGTATTTAACTTACGAATGAGAAGCGTAGTACTTATGCTAATACGAAGACTACTATTAATAACCATACTACTGCTGTCTCTACTGTCATTAATACTACTACTACCACCACCACCACCACCACCCCACCACCACCACCACCACCACCACCACCACCACCACCACTACTACTACTACTACTACTACTACTGCTGCTACTACTACTACTACTACGACTACTACTACTACTACTATTATTACTACTGCTACTACTACGACTACTACTACTACCTATTACTACTACTACTACTACTACGACTACTACTACTACTCCTACTACTACTACTACTACTGCTACTGCTACTACTACTACTACTACTACTACTACTACTACTACTACTAATACTACTACTACTACTACTCTATTTCTAGTACTACTATCACTACTAGTACTACTACTACTACTACTACTACTACTACTACTACTTACTACTACGACAGCTACTACTACCACTACGACGACGACTACTACTACTACTACTACTACTACTACTACTACTACTACTACTACTACTACTACTACTACTACTACTACTACTACTACTATTACTACTACTACTACTACTACTACTACTACTACTACTACTGCTGCTGCTGCTACTACTACTACTACTACTACTACTCTTACTACTACTACTACTACTACTGCTACTACTGCTGGTGCTGCTGCTGCTACTACTAATCATAAAACGAAGAATCTATTCAACACTACTAATACGAAGAATTCGAGTACGAGGATCACGACTAATGGCACTACTATAATAAGAAGACGAATGACACTACTACGAATACTACCTAGTAATAGTGACAGTAAGACGCATACTAATAAGAAGAGTTATCGTAAGAAGAGGGGGAGGAGGATCAGGAGGAGGAGGAGGAGGAGGAGGAGGAGGAGGAGGAGAGGACGCGCGCTTTCATCTAGGGTGCCCTTGTGTCCTTGCCTCTGCGGCCCGTTCTTTGCCGTTATCACTGGTCGCCCCCCGTCGAAACAAATCACTTTGGCCTCGAAGGGTCTTGTGTCCCTACCACCCGTCCTGAATATACGTTTTGACTGTAGACGTTGCCCGCGCCTGCAGATTCGACTTTGAAGCTACCCCTGCCGTCCCGTCCAGAGCTCGACGCTGGATCGGTAACGATCTTTCGCAGGGGGGGTCAGCGGCGTGGAGGCCGGTTGTGACGGGAGGCCCTGGGCACGCGGCTCGGTCCCGGGGGCCACGGGTGAGAGGAGGAGGAGGAGGAGGAGGAGGAGGAGGAGGAGGAGGAGGGGGAGGAGGAGGAGGAGGAGGAGGAGGAGGAGGAGGAGGAGGAGGAGGAGGAGGATGGATGATGCCAGAGCGAGGGTGTGCCTGCACATTCCTCCCCACATGCGGGTGTTCGCGCGCACGCTGCGGCGATCGCAGCGCACTCCAGCCCCGACGTGCCCCGCCCCGCCCAAGCGCTACTGCTACCCAGCCCCTC